ATTTGCCAGGACATTTGCCAGGACATTGCCAGGACATTGCCAGGACATTTGCCAGGACATGGCCAGGACATGGCCAGGACATTTTCCAGGACATTGCCAGGACATGGCCAGGACATCACCTCACTGCCGGCTGCTGCCCCATGGTGCCATTTTTTTGGTGTGGCTCAGTCCAGCTGCTTCCAGCCCAGCCCACACCCACCAGCCTCGGAGCTACAGGGCTGGAGCAGCCCCGTGGGGACGTCCTGCCCGCTCGCCACCAGCCAAAACCTGCAGGCAAAGAGGCAAAGCTGAGAGAATTCCAAACCAGCCCCAAAACGGGGACCATGGGGACAAACACGCTGGAGCCAGGGTGTCCCTAAGCCCCTGGGCCAGCTCGCCGTGGGCCAGCCTTGGGCTGTTCCAGCATTTTGGGCTGTTCCAGCGTTTTGGGGCACTTCAGCCTTTTCCATGGACACAATTCCCTTGCCTCAGGACATTTGGGCAGGCACAGGGACAGCAGCAGGATGGGGATCCCCCGCTCAGAGCAGCCCAGGGGCACCAGCCCTGGCTGGGAAGAGGCTCCTCTCTGATGTGTTATCAGAAACAGAACAGAAAATCCAATTTCTGCCCCCCCCTCGTCCTTCCCTCTCCAGGCAGCGGCCCCACGGGGCAGCAGAGGAGGCACCAGCCGGGCACTTTCATGCTGAAATCACTGAGTTTTCCATCGGGCTCTGCCCACTCCCAGGCTGGAGAGGGTTTGGAAGAGGAGCTGCCGTGGTTCATCTGCGCGCTCGCTATCGTGCAGCACCAACCTCGGCAGAGGATGATAATAGGATTGTAAACTTTTGAAGTTAATAGGAAAATTATAGTGCTTCTGTGTATTATTATAATGCAATAAGCTGCCACATAGTGTCTCTCACCCTGCGGGGTATCATGGCTTGTCACCCAGCCTGTGAAGGTAATGATTAAAGCCCCATGAAATTCGCAGTGTCACAAAAGTCCTGAGAAGCATGAAATTCTCTGTTTTCTATTAAAAAAAATAATAATAATAAAAAAAAAAATTGCATTTTGACGTAGTTTTAGGAGAGACCTGTTAATTTGAGATTTGCTGCAGTGGCACAAAGGTCTCGTGCAGACAAGCTCACCTTGTGTGGCAGCTGAAAAACACCCAGATCAGGAGAAACCCACTGACTCTTTAGTGCCTCCTCTGTCACAGAATGGCCCAAGGGATCTTTCCAAAAGCACCTGAGGGGTCCCTGGTGCCAGAAGTGGCTCCAGTTTGGGTCTGTCTAGGGAGGGACGAGGGCAGGGAGGGATCACTGGATGGCTCCCATGCCACGGGGCTGGATGGAGGTGCCAGCGTGGCTGATGAAGCTGCAAAATTAAAGTTTTTAGTGAGCCTGTCCTCTGGCTAATGAGCCTGGAAATGTGAGGAGGATGAAGGTGCCGCGTGCCCGTCTCTTCCCATTCCCAGCATCATCTGTAACGTGCGGTTTAGTGAGCAGGGCTGCTGCAAAACCTTAAAAAAAGACCAAACCAACCCTATTCAAACAAATAAAAAGGCTCAGAGGGAAATGTGCTGGCTGCCCCGGCAAGGGCTGAGCAGCCAGGTGGGTGTGTGCTCCTTCCAGCACAACCAGCCCACATCCCAAGGTGCTGGCTGCCCCGGCAAGGGCTGAGCAGCCAGGTGGGTGTGTGCTCCTTCCAGCACAACCAGCCCGCATCCCACACCCCCCATCCCACATCCTGCATCCTGCACCCCACATCCTGCATCCTTCACCTGCATCCCTCCTGTTGTCCCTTTCAGATCAAGCTGAAGGAGATTTTTGAGACGCCCTCGGAGATCGCGCTGGTGCTGGAGCTGGTGACGGGGGGAGAGCTCTTCGACAGGTCCCCCCCCCAGCTCCCCAGGGGGGTCATTCCCACCCTGACGGCCAGAGGGAGGAGGAGGAGGAGGATGGAGGGGGCCGATGCACGCCACGGCTGGGGATGGAGGGTGAAGGGGGGCAGTGG